ATGCATTTAGAACTCGACACAGAGTGTTCTCTTGCCCTTGAGGGAGAGCAGAACATTTGACTTATGATAAAGGTTCCCCAACTACATGTTGTAGAACCCTGCCCAAATGCTGCTTCAGCTGTGGCAGTAGATTCCATCTTATATCCAAAGCCTAGCAGGGTGTCCTCACCCTATAGAAGACTAGCCTGCTACCCGTGCTTCGCTACGGCATTTAAGTTTCGTAAATCCAGTTATAATACTGATGATGTGAAACTTGAAATGTGACATTTGTTGTAGGAATTCTAACAGAGAGAATTGTAGTGTAAGAAATGAAGCGAGACATATGTACTTTTTTTTTCAACTGAAGAACCTCTCTCTAGACCACATTGGTGGTTCTACCCTCAAGTGCTAGGATCACCAGGCTGCTTGATGAGCTCACTCTGGAGCAGGCCACATAGAACTGTCCATTTAAGAAGCAGTCATCTGTTAAATCAGCTCCTGCTACCTTCCACGAAAGTGATGGCCTCTCTATTTGTGTTCCTGGATTGTTTTGCTCATATGGAGACTGTTAGGTGTAGGAGGTGGGGGGAGTGTGTTGTAGGCCATCAGAGAGGCTGGGCCAGCAGCTTTGCTTCACCTCACAGGTGGTTCTTGGCCACTCCTGATTTCCTCAACTGTCATTAGCTGTCTGCAGTCCCCTGTAACTGTTGACTTTTTTACCTCAGAACACTGAGCTCTGCAGCTGACCAGTCAGAGAGTGGGGGGTGCAGAGAGTCAGCTGCCTGGCAGCCACATAGGAATCAATGGGGGGAGCACATTTTCCCCCTTTTGAGCCACTTAGGGGTCGAATTTCTAAAAATCCCTTCTTAATGAGCACCTACGCCAGTTCAAAAGCAAGAAATTGCAAGTAGATAAATAGGTACCACTTCGGTGGGAAGGTAACAGCGTTCCGTGCGCCTTGGTGTTTAGTCATGCCGGCCACATGACCACAGAAACGTCTTTGGACAGCGCTGGCTCTTCGGCTTTGAAACAGAGATGAGCACCGCAACCCTAGAGTCGGATTCGACTGGCTTTTGAGCAAGGGAACCTTTACCTTTACCTTTTACGCCATGATAGAAGCGCTCTCTTTGGTGTCTCTTTTGTCCAGCGGTTTGGCCTGGGCGTTGATTTTATGGTGAGGGGATTTTCTTTTATATATATAGAAGTAGCTTCACAGTCTAAGTGCAGCATTCCATTCTGGATAGTGTGTTATATTTCTTAATATGAACACAGCATTTATAACAGCCATTGCTGCAGTGCACATTAGATATAATATACTAACTCTGGAAATCGATGCTCACAGTTCCCTAGCTGATTAAATAATTTACCACTTCAAAATAGTTAGAGAGGGAAGTAATGGATCCCTTAATGTAGGAGAAAATAATATAAACACATTGCCTGGTTTTTCTGTATGGACCTTTTCTGTACCAAAGTAGACTGTGGCACAAATTAACCTAGTTGCAAACTTCCTATGAAACATTTGTCCATAATGCATTGCCTCCCTAAATGGCAGTGGCAGAAATGTGAAAGAGTCAAGAGTGGTTAAAACAGATGGTCTTAATTCTTGAAATGAATTTCTTACATGTGTAACAATCTC